AATCCAATTCTCATTTTTAATCAAAATCGGCTAGTTTCATCGAAAAACTTTAAAATAAAAAATAATTATCTCAAAATTCTTATTATTAATCTCCAAATAAGCTTAATCACGTGTTCAATGATTTATTTATTTATCCATAGTAGAATTCCCACACTTATTGCGCTCTACAAGTTCGAGTTATAAAATATTGAATAATAGTAAAAGTCTCTCAACTTGTTGCACTCTAGACATTGCTGTTCAATACGTGCCTGTCAAATATGCCTTCGGCCGTAAAATGCAAATGGAGGGCAAAGTTGGGTCCAATCTATGAAATTCAACTTTTCAAAGGACCAAAAAGGTAAAATACATAAATTTTAGGGTGTAAAAGAGCGCATCTGTAAAGAAAATCGAGAGGCCAGCTTCAACACTCCACTCAAAACAGCTCAAGGCGACTCTGTCATCTGCTCACGGTTTTTCCCGTTGACTTGGGGATTAATTGTGAGACTATTGAAAACTCTACTTCTCTCTGCTCTTAATCTAAGATTATTTGCAATTTTATATGTTTTTTGGTTGGATCAAAACCAGCTCAGGAACAGAAAGGGAGTTTCCAGTTCTTTTCTGCAATCTGTAAGTTATTATATGATTCTTGATGTGTTTATATATATGTATATGTATGTATATAAGTACGCACACAATAATTGACTCTTATGATAATCATTTTCTTGATTCGCCAGCCATTATGTGACAACTGCATTTTTGTTTTCTTGATTCGCCAGCCATTCATTCATATCCGTAGAACAAGATTATTCCACTATCCAACTACGACATATTGATTATTGGGATTGGTCAATTATTCTCAAATTTTAGAGCGTTTGCCCTATTCTGCAAATTGGTTTTGCTCTTGATTCAGATCAGATTTTGTTTGTTTTCAACAATAAAGAACCAAGAAAATGCCTCTGGGGGAGCTCTTTCTTTCTGCATTCATTCAGATACTGTTCCAGCAATTAGCTTCAGGTCTGTTGGTGACCTTCACCCAACGGGAGAGAATTGATACGCACCGCAAGAAATGGAGTCAAAATCTGGATTTTATTCAGGCGGTGCTCGATGATGCTGAAGATAAGCAATTAACTGATCAACATGTAAAAGTATGGCTGGAGGGCCTCAGGGACTTGTTCTATGACTTGGAAGATATATTGGATGAGATTACCACTCTAGCTTTGATTCAAAGACACAAAGGAGTTCTGCCTAGAACAAGTCTCTTTCGGAAATTGATCCCTACTTGCACCGGTTTATTACCTGGTTCAATTGCATCCAATTATCGGATGATGTCCAAGATAAAAGAAATCTCGAACAGGTTTGATGAGATAGTGAAGCAAAGGAATGGTTTGAAATTGGAAAATAATTTGGGTGGGCATTCTAACCGATTGGTAACCAGATTGCCTAGCACTTCCTTAAATGAGCCCCACATTTATGGAAGAGACAAGGATAAAGAAGCCATGAGGAAATTGTTGATTGGTGAGGGGGGGTGTCATGATGATGTTTGCTATGTTCCGATTGTTGGGATGGGTGGAATTGGCAAAACGACTCTTGCCCAACTTGTCTATAATGATAAAGATGTTAAGGGAAGCTTTCATGTGAGAGCTTGGGTTTGTGTATCTGATTTTGATGTGTTTACAATAACCAAGACAATTTACAAGTCAGTGACTGATGATAGTGGCGAATCTAAGGACTTAAATATGCTTCAAGTCAGTTTACAGCAGGAGTTGTCGAAGAGCAAGTTCCTTATTGTTCTCGACGATCTTTGGAATGAGGACTATGAAAAGTGGAACACACTATGCCTTCCTTTCCAATACGGGCAACCTGGAAGTCGAATTATCGTTACAACTCGCCTTGGTCATGTTGCATCAAAAGTGGGGTCTGTTCCAGCTTACCATATGAATCTGTTGACTGATGGTGATTGCTTATCTCTTTTAGCTCATCACGCTAAAAGATCTATAGATGCTGATCCAGATATAAGAGAAATTGGTAAGGGACTAGTGAAGAAGTGTAAAGGCTTGCCTTTGGCAGCAAAGGCACTCGGTGGCCTCCTACGTTCAAAGGAAAGTAAGGAAGAGTGGGTAGAAGTGCTGAAGAGCAAGATATGGGATTTACCAGAACAAAACAACATTCTTCCTGTTTTAAGATTAAGCTATCATCATCTGCCTTCGCATTTGAAGCATTTGTTTGCTTATTGTTCCATATTTCCAAAGGACTATGAGTTTGACAAGAATGAGCTGGTGTTATTGTGGATGGGAGAAGGTTTTCTGCGCCAAGAAAGAGGGAGTAAAGAGATGGAAGAGTTAGGCTTCGACTGTTTTAATGAACTATTGTCGAGATCCTTTTTCCAACGACTAAGTGACAGAGATTCACATTTTGTGATGCATGACCTTATAAATGATTTGGCTCAACTTGTTGCTGGAGGGACTTGCTACAGGCTTGATGAGAAGGTAAATACTAACGAGGAGTATAGAGTACCAGAAAAAACTCGCCATGCTTCATTCCTGCGTCATGAATTTGAAGTTTTCACAAAATTCAGGGCGTTCAAACAAGTTCAAGGTTTGAGAACTTTTATACCAATGCCTGTCCAAAATTCACACGTTTGGCCTCCTTTCTACTTATCCAACAAGATCTTACTTGAATTGCTTCCAGAGCTTCATCGCTTAAGAGTGCTATCTCTAAGCGGCTATTCCATCACTGAGCTTCCAAGTATCATCTGCAAGTTGTTCCATTTACGGTACCTCAATCTATCTGGCACTTCTATTGTTTCATTGCCGGACTCTATAAGTGATCTCTACAACTTGCATACTTTATCTTTAAGTAATTGCCGCTTTATCTGTCAGCTGCCACCGGCAGTAGGAAGTTTATCCAACCTACGGCATCTTGACATCTCTAACACTGATCAACTGAGGGAAATGCCAGTCGGAATCGGTGATTTGATAAAGCTGCGGACATTACCAAAACTTGTTGTCAGCAAAGTCGGTGGCTTGGGACTGAAGGAATTGAGGAATCTTCAGCATTTGCAGGGGACACTTGCCATTTCAGAATTGCAAAATGTGACGGACATAGAGGATGCAAAGGAGGCATGTTTAAGGCGTAAGCAAGAACTCGATGAATTACAACTGGAATGGGGAAAAGATATTAATGTTCCAATTGATAGGAGTTTCGAAGAAGAAGTGCTAGATATGCTACGGCCTCATGAAAACTTGAGAAATCTCAAGATTGAATTCTATAGAGGTGAAAACTTCCCAAGTTGGGTAGGGGATAAATTATTTTGTAAATTGTTGAGCATAAGCCTTGGCAGCTGTAGTGAATGTACATCTTTACCCCCACTCGGGCAACTGCCCAAGCTCAAACACCTGCGCATAGAAGGCATGCGAAAAGTAAAACACATTGGTGTTGAATTTTGCGGTTTGTTGGCTGTCCCATTTCAAAGTCTCGAGAGTCTAAGATTTTATGACATGCCAGAATGGGAAACATGGTCCCGTTCTGCAGATGGTGAGGTATCCGAGAACCAGTTCCCTTATCTTACTCAGCTTACAATATTCAAATGCCCCAAGTTAACTAATGTTTCTCCATTGAAGCTTCCCATTCTTCATGACTTGGACCTTCAGGAATGCAACAACGTAGTGTTACGAAGTTTCAGTAATCTTAATAAGTTAAACTACTTGAAAGTTGAGTCTGTTACAGGGCTATCTCATCTACCGCAGGAACTTCTGCAGTCCACTGAATCACTTGAAGTTTTAGAGTGTTGTAATTGCAGGGAACTGCTTTCACTGTGGGAAAATGGAGTTACGGTAGAACATCTTGTCCGTCTAAGACGCCTCGTCGTTGCTGACTGTTCAGAACTTGTATCCCTTTGTGAAGAGGGACAACAGATGCCTAGCAATCTTGAAGTTTTGGAGTTATTTCGCTGTGCAAGATTATTGTCCATTCCAAACATGAGCAACCTCAGGATCCTGAGGGAGTTTATAATAAAGAATTGCAAAAGACTTGTAAGCTTTTCGGAAAATGGCGTCCCTCCCATGCTTCGACGCCTTGAGATACTCAGCTGCAATGCCCTAGAATCCCTGCCTAGTAGCTTCTCAAACCTTGAAAGGCTGGAGATTAAGGACTGCTCGTCTCTGAGGACCTGTTTCGATGGTAACTTCGCAATCACCCTTAAAAAACTTTCCATCAAAAACTGCAATCAACTTTCAGAGGCGATGCTTCCACTGAACAGTGAAATTTCTCTGGAAGAGCTTACTATATCCAAATGGCTGAATTTCAGCTCTCTACTCCGGCATGTGCACAGCTTTGCACATCTTTTTGAACTGTATCTATCTGATTGTAATGGTCTAGATAGCTTCCCAGAGCAAGGGTTGCCACCAAACCTGAGGACACTTTCCATTGAACATTGTTCAAATCTTAAGTCCTTGCCAATGCAGATTCGAAACCTCGCATCCCTCGTATCACTTGAGATACGTACTTGTCGCAGGCTTCAGAACTTCCCAAGATATGATTTCCCCCCAAATTTATCTTCACTAAGGATCTGGGATTCTAGGAAACTCAAGCCTCTAGCAAAGTGGGGCCTACACAGACTAACCTCTCTTCGAGAATTTTCTGTCTGTGGTGGATTTCAAGAACTGGAGTTTCTTGGTGATGACGACGGTCTCTTTCCTCGTTCTCTAACTAAGTTTTCTATTGCTAGATTTCCAAAACTTACTTCGCTCTCGAAGGTTCTTGAAAACCTCACTTCTCTACAACACCTATCAATCATGAATTGTACAAGCCTTAATGTTTTGCCCAGTGAAAACCTGCTCGACAAGCTTTGGCATCTAGAGATAAGCGACTGTCCCCCTCTGAAACAACGGTGTCTCAAAGATAAAGGGGATTATTGGAACAAGATAGCTGGAATTCCTTGTGTAGAATTAGACGGCACTTACATTTACAGACAGAGTTTGGGTTAAGCTGCAGTTATTTTTCCTCGTTTGAGGGTATCAGATGCCATATCTTTACTGCATTATCAGGTAAACACATTTTGAAACCATCATATTTTTTTATTTGGCCTCCTTTGATCACCTAATCTTTGAGCCATTGAAAGCCCGTTGTTTACTTGATATCATACGGCAATGGACTAGCTTATTGCACTAGAAATGAACAATAAAAGTGCTGCTGTCCCTGTTTATGTGCAGTTTGCGAGCATTGTCTAAAATTGTCTATACATGGTTGACAAATACCAGTACATGACAAAGAGAACATCAGTTTCGATGCCACAACTTATTTGATTGTAAGCATTATCCTGTCTTTGATGCTACCTCTCGACATGCTACCACAGCAAGAAGTACGAAAGATTATACAAACTTTAAGCCTCTAAATGCAGACCTAATGTCGTGTTACTGCAGGTCTGGTATTTTCTTTAGATCTAAATGCTTTGATTGTGATTTCTTAATATTTCAGAATACTTTCACATTTTCTATGCCGATGTTACAAGGATGTGCTTATCCAACTATTGTTTGTCTTATGTATTTGGCAAGTGAATTTTACTATTCAACAAAGAAAAAACATAGTACATCTTGAAAATTTCACCTCTATGGCGGTTGCACAGTGGTTTGTGTATTTGTTGTGATTGGAGAAATTTCAGGTGTCGTTTCGTTGAACCACCTCGTCTAAAATCTTGGACGCTGGACAAGTTATTCGTTTATAGTTTGTCTTGACACACCCATCACTTGCAGACCACCAATTCATTTGTAAGCAAAGGCCAACACTTGCACAATTACATGTTCTAATGCTATGTTGACCTGCCTCACCTAAATTTTAAGCTTTTAGAGAAGGGACAAAATTATTCATTTGATTTTGTCTTCGACAAATCTTGTTTCGTATTTCATATGTACTCAACTGGCTACCATACGTGACCCACAAACATATTTTCTTGCTTTCTCGTCTGTATGGCAAAAGAAGTCACAATTAGACCATTAACATTTGTTATGGCTAGAATCTGCCATTATTTTCTTCTATTAGGAGAAAAGAGGCCCCAGCTTTTAGTTCCAAATATTGGAGTTCGATTAGGGTTTGAGGGTTAATTGACATTTTTTCTTTAGCTATGTAAGTCACAGCATGTTTGGTCGCGCTTTTACAAACTTTTCTTTTAGCCAAATGCATGGGGATAAGGTCCAAAAAGGCACATAAATAGTTGATTTCAAGCAGAAGTGGAAGTCCCCATCGAAACTTTTTGATATTTTTTATGCTTCATTCATTTTCATTGCCATCAATAAATCATTTCGAATAATGACGAATCCTGTTACATGAACATCAAGGTGGACTTAGAACTAGATATAATGTCACGTGTCATTCAACCATTTAACATTTTAAAATACAGTTAGCTTTTCCTCCCATCTAATCATCTTTTTCACATACAATCATGTCAAACTTTTTATCTAATTCTTCCGACAAAGTAACTTTATCAGATAATGAGAGGCCACTTTTTGGGCCCATCAATTTGACGTAGCAAAGAAGACCATCAATGTTCAAGATCTCTAAGAGACCATTCTTATATTAATGACTTTAATGAGAGGCATCTGTCAAAATCTAACGTAAACGAATGCCCCTTTAGTTATATACGATTTCCCATTCTAAGTTATTTTTTCTAACTCACAATAGAAGTATCTGCAGGTCAATGTAAGTAACAGTTTTACTCTAATTTAGCATGATCTAACACGATTATTAGTAAAATTCTGGGCACAAATATTGTGTTGCAAGTACAATTAGTGGAAACTACATTCGTTCAATTTTTAAAAGTTCAAGGATCAAACTGCAACTTAAGAAAAAGTTTCACGATCAGGATTCCAAGACCTCATGTTTTATTTTGAGGATGATGATGATTTTAAAAGTTGACATTTGAGAAATGTAGGCATCATGACAAATTTTGGCACGTTTGGAGACATTTTGCATTTTTCAAGGGACTAAAGCGAAATTTCGAAAAAATAATTTCCCTAACAAATTTTTTTTTTAAGAGAATATGAGATACCTATTCTTGAACCATTGACCTTGATGGTAAAAACAACAATCCTTAATTAATAAAGACAAGATGAATTAGTCTTGACAATATTGTTCACTGTGACATGTCAAATATTTAAAATGCAAATGGTGGGAAAAAGTAGTTTTGAATAACATACTAAGGCCGCAAAATATAAAATACACAAATGTTAGGATATGACTTGTGTACAAATGAAGCACAAAATAGGAATGACAAAATGTTCCATCCAAGTCCTACAATCAAATCGGGGTGGGAATGGGAATATGGTTCCGTCCTAAGGGCCTGTTTGACAATCATTAAAACTAGTTTTTTGGGAAAAAAAAAAAAAAAGAGTTTAGAAATAGTAATTTTTTTGAGAATGTGTGATTACAAAGTATGAAAAAATTTTAGGTTTATATGTAGAATATTTTATCATGAAAACGTGTAGTTGAAAATGAGTTTGAGAAAAAAATGTTTTATAAAAACAGTTGTCAAACATGGGCTAACTCTTATTGATTTATGTGTTTAAATTCAAAATATATTTAAAAATAAAAATATATAAAATTAAGTAAACGGGAAGCGAGGATATTTTATTTCTGACCTCTAACTAATTCTCAAAATCCAAATGGGGAGGGTTACGGGAAGGGTCATCCTATTGTAGGAATGAACGAAAAAACTGCAAACTCATCAAATCTAACCAAAATCATAGCTTTGAAATTGTTTTTTTGGATTCATGTGGACCCATAAATTTATGAGTGCAAAAATCAAACGAAATTATTTGAAAATTGTTTTCTTTAGGTTTCTATAACTAAAAATTGTTTAAAATCAGACCAAACAGTTTACCCACATTGGAAAAAATTAGTTTTTTATCCACTATATATTATTTATTAGTTCAATTTATACTTCAACAAATTTATTTGCTAGTCAACTAAATTTGATTCTTGAGGAAAATAATGATTTGTTATAATATATTTCTTATTTAGTCTAGAACGAATTAATTGCAAGCTTAAGTTATATGGTAGAATCTTAAATTAATTTATTGGTTTAAGCTTGTATTTGAGATAAATATATTGGACCTTGTTACATGTACGTAAAAGTTTATATAAGGGATTACATAATGTCACATAATTTAATACTCTACATTTATCAGTTTAAAGCACATTCAACTCTTTCATCTAATATTTTTCCTCCACGTCATTTTATGTAATCCCTTATGTACCATTTTTATGACAAATTGTTGGAAAAATGTTTCCACACAAAGGGGATTGAGAAGAAACAAAGAACAAACAACAAGAAAATAGAAACAAAAGATGAAGGCTTAAATACGTAATCGTCGTTCTCAAATGATATTTGCCTCCTTTCGGATTAAATTTGATGCTTAAAGGACTCTTGACAAATGTTTTGCAGGATTTATCAAACATTGAAGATGAATAAACACTTAAATACTAATGAAATTCCTTCAAAACTTAAGAACACAAAACAGAATTTTGAATATGAAAGAAAATAGGTTTTGATCTTTCTAGTGGAATGGAATTTGATCTCAAATAATTTGTATATATTTGTATTGATCATTAATTACTTATTTATAGATCTCAATCAATTTTACACGAAATGGTGCCAAAACATGATGAGAAAAGACAATTTTCCATCCAAAAAACACCAAGTTTCAAGTTGAAAAATTAACCGACGACTCTATTCGGCCGTACAAAACAAACTTATGCGGCAACATAGGTTGTTCAATGGCACACGAACAAGCCCTGAAAGCCTACATGCGACTGCATGCCTCCAAAGCTTTGCCCTCATTTCCATTTTTTATTTTACATACTATTTATTGATTTTGAACAACAATTTCAACACAAATAGTATAATCCTTAAGGTATGGACCTTGTTACATGTACATAGAAGTTTACATAAGGGTTACATAATGCAACATATTACATGCAAATTCAAAACTTTTTCTTATTTTTAACCACACATCTATTTACTATATTAAAGAAGGATAGTTGTTGCAACAGTTACCGCCTAAAATGCTGCCCCAATTTCCCGCCCAAGGAAGGGAAAAAAAAAATAAAGAAAAAGGAAAGAAAATCTCTACCAAGAAAGCTGGTAAAATGGCGTATAAAATTGAAACAAGTCACGCCACCATTCATTGTCAATCAGTCAAGGACTCACATAAAAAAATCATCTACAGTGATGAAGTACTTAAGATCCGCAGCTTTTGAATTGTAGTGGGTCCCACTTTTGTATTTTTTTCAAATTTGGCTGGCTCCCTCCCAAAAATAATACTCACATATGAAACTTATTTTGACCAATTTTGTGGCGCCGGTGCAGTGTTATCTCATTTTCAAAACCTGAGACTGCCTTCTTATCGTTTCAAAAAAAAATTGGCCGCCATCTGCTCAATTTTTACTGTGACCGATTATCACAAGTTCTTTTTGCAAATTGGGGCACAACTTAAAGCCAGATTGGAGGTAAAGGATAGGGAAAGTCCCAGATTGGAGGTCAATAGGCACAACTTAAAGCTAGATGCTCGGGTACTTCTGTGAGTTCTTTTCTTCTTGCATCTTGAGA